ATCGATATTTTTCCCATGCCGATTTTAAATAACCTTCTCTAAGACGACCAAATACGATTCTAGATAATTTTGATATTTTATCGAGGTGGTATTCTTTGAGATGCAACCCAAACAGAAGGTTCGTTGTGCTCTTAATTCAACACTTGTGTGATCACTTATTGCTAAGACATGCTCACCGACAACTTATTCTAATTACCATACATATATAATTTATCTTCTAAAAGAATGCTAAAACATGCTCACCGACAACTTATTTTAACTACCATACATATATAATTTATCTTCTAAAAGACAACTACCCACGTTTCGAAACGATTTTGTTTTCTACGGGCGTGGTCACTTTAGATAGGTTATGTTCAATGTTATCTTAACTTATGTTCTCAGAAATTCTGCTCATTTTTAGAGATGGTCCTTTTTTGAACGTGATCACGATTAGAGAATTCATTTTGTTTGATAACTTCAACATCCTCAGTCGGCATTTATATTTACACTTTTCAAACAGGTCAAACCTATAGTTCAAAAGTATTACGGTATCTAAGCTGTTTAATTATTTTTTAAAATTTAAGCAAAATATTTTCTTGAATATACATTATTGTAGTACTTGTATTTTACTTGCTAAATCTGATGCATCAGGCTGCTCAAAGTCAGCCTTAAAAAGAAAATATTTTGTTTTTGCAACTTTCATTACGTAGACAGCTTATGTTCGGATAAATTCACAAGTGATCAACTACAAAACTTTAAATAGCATACCTAAATCTCATGTAAAGATTATGAATACAATGTTAAGATAAAGATTAATGATTTTATTTGTAAATTACGTGATCATATGCTTACGTAAAAAATCATATGCTTTTAGAATTTCTTATATTTTTAATTACACTTATACCCTCACAATCAAATAACAGGTTGAAAACGTTACATGCATAGAAACTGAAAATTTTGGGGTCTTTAAAAATCTTAATTTTGTAAAAAAAGATTTTGTTAAGATGGGATTATAGTCCTGTTCTCTAAAACTTAAACGAAACAAATGAATAGCTGTTCTTCCTCAAATAATCTGAATTTTGTTTTCCAGTTATTAACTTTCTCTAACAGGATTATTCTATCTCATATTTTTATGTTTTTACACTTTTATTCGACTGTCAAAAATTTTTCAGATTTTCAACATGTGTGGAATTGCTTACGAATCTCAGTTTTATGTCAGATAAAAGATTAGTATTTGGAACCAATTTAATAATCTTTATTGTTTTCCATCTCGATTTCTATAAATTTTATGTGTTTCAAGTTAGTGCCTTTAACATTAATTAATAAAAGCAATGCCAGAATGTCAAGAGGGTGAGTATTGTTCCCCAACTCAGTTCATATTTGATGGTTTTAACTATGTTGTCGTATGACCACTTTGATGTGCGGAACTGACATGGAGAATCCACAGTTTGGTCCACTTGTACACAGAGTAGTTTGACGTATCTATGCTTAAGATCTGGAGTGACATTTGGAACATCCCGCCCATCATCTTTGTGTACCAACCTCGGTAATACCACTCGTTGCCAACCAAAATGTTTACATGAAACTCGAAAGCGGAAGAGGGGCGGCCGAGCCGGTTGATGAGAGATCCAGAATTCAATCGCCTCGAACGAACATCACCCTGCGAACCACCCCCTATACCCTTCTCCAGAAGCTCAAATCATAATCAATCTAGGCACCGGGGTGTTTGCTGCGCGCGGTCTCTTTTGAAGCTGAAAGTCTTGCGGTTCGCCACATGTCCGCCAAAATTAGGAAATATCCTTGCAGAGCGCTTCAAAATGAATTAGTTCGAGGGTAAGGGGGTGGAGTGAGTTAGTCCGTCGCTTGCACTGATCTCTCTACCCACCTCTCTTCTCTTCCGACCCCTAAGATCAAAACCTTCGCGGCGGGGTCCATGTTTTGATTGCTTCGCTATTGGTAAAGTAAGCAACAAAAGCTTCCATCATATTTGGCCTTCCAATTACGAGGGATTTTCTGCGCTCGTGATTTAACCCCATCTTGCTTTTTGTTTTTGTTGCTTCATCCTCCTCCTCCTTCTTCTTTTCTTTTTTTTTTTTCCTTCTTCAATCATTGTGTTATTATTATTTATTCTTCGCTTCTCTGCTCCGCCGGTAATCAGACCAGTTTAAGTTCCAGTTTGTGTCTTCGGTTTTGCAAAAACCTGGAAGAAAAGTATTACTTTTCCTAATAGAATTAGGAGCTTCGGCAATTTGTGAACGCGGGAGAATTAAACTCCGTGTTCCCTGCGCTCTTTTCTGTGTCTCTCACCCCCTTTCACCCCGTACCTTCCTCCACCCTATCCCTCAGACCCATAATATCACCTGGGGGGATTGGGGAAAACCATTCATAGATCGGCAGCGGTGCAAAATGGTAATTGAATTAGTTTCCGAGGAATAACAATCTGTTCAGCCGCGTGGGGGATTATAAAAACAAGGAGAGTCCCCGGAAACTGAAGGACTCTCATTCTCTCTTCTTTTCGTTCCATTTCCCGAGCTTCTGGCGCCGGTTCTATTCCATCCTCCCCGTCGCTCCTCCGTCTTCTGTTACCCCGTGGATGCTGGATCCTAATCACCCGGGCTTTAAAACTGGTGGTGGAGGGGGGAAAGGACCATTCATTCGCGATATCTCTTCCCCCTTATAATAAGCGTTGAATTTAAATTTTTGTGCCAAGAGTTCAGCTTTCAGCGACAGAGTTCGCTCTGTGGGAGCGATGTGTACCTGTGTGCCAGGGTAGACTTCTTATTATCAGCACATTGTTTCAGCTATCCGTTCTTTTTAATTGAGACATTAAAAGATCTTTATTGTAGTTACAGTTTTTTTCCGGTGTGTGTGTGCGCGTTCAAAGAACGCCTGAGAAATGTTTTTTTTTTCTCTTTCATTTTATAAAAGAGGTATTATAGAATTGTTGGAATTAGACTCTAGAGATAATAAAAGTGATGGTAATCTGAAGCGCACAAGTTACACTAATTAAAACCAGGTTTAAAATTTTATAAATTTCAGTGTGAGAGAAGAATTTTACTCTCTTTTTGCGCAGATAAAGAGAAAAAGTTGTAAAAAGTCTGGATGGCGATATTTTGGAGGAAATACGTAAAAGGAGTTATGAGATACACCATAGATTTATTTGGTAGAAGCGTTATTTGTTACGAGAAGTGCAAATGAGTAAGTTGAGCTGCATAAACAATTAGAGCAATAAAAATATTAGTTGAAAATGGAAGAACCGGTAATAAAAACGCATTAAAAAGTTTTTCTAACACTAGTATTTCATTGTAATCGATTAATATTGCTCTGTGAATATACAAAAACATACCTCGGCACAAAAACGTGACATTATAAACAGCTGACGGACTTCGAAAGAGGGAAAATAATTCTGCGGAGAGAATTCGTTTTCTCGCGACATGAGAGTACTGCTCGTGTTAGGCGGAAAACAAGTACAGTTTTGCGTGCATGGAGATAACGCGCGGAAGAAAGTTCGATGCATTGCCAGGAAGGGATCTGGAGTAGATTTTTGCCAAAACGGGAATACAGACACATGGTAAGCATATCGATAATGGATAGTACCTCAACAAACATATGATATTATCACAATAACGAAATCTGGAGAATAACGAATAATCTGGAGAAATCTGCCAGTAGTGTTATCGCCGACGTTTACTGCAGAGAATGCTTGTACTTCGGTGACTGTTATTGCAAGACTGGTAATTTGCCATACATGTCAGCAATTTTAATGATTTAGAAAACAAAACAAATACTGAATTGGGCACAAACTGTTTTTTACGACGAATTTTAGAACAATCTTTGGACCAATGACGAATGGATCTCATTCGTGGCTTAAACTTGGAACGGCTTCTATTGTAGAAAACTACAATGCAAAGTGTCAAAGTGGTTGCAGTGTGAGTGTCATGGCTTATGGAAACATTAAATTTTATTCGCTATCTCGCCTTCTGTGAATTGTAGGAACTATAAAATATCAGTAGTATGCATTTTTGATCTTGGAATTAAGAGTCTTGTCGCTCTTTTTGAATCGTCCTTGAATCAACTTTACGCAGGAAAATACTATTGCACACGTAGCCCAAAATGTCCTAGATTCTCCTCTGCGACCAGCATATGTTAATTTTTCCTTGGCATGAGTGGAACGCTTAACGCGAATGAAAACGCTTAACGCAATCCAAATGAAATCACTTAATCACATTTTGAAAAACCTTCGACCACAAGATTAATGAGCACAATTGAATGAAAAATAAAACTAATGTTTGAGGAAAAACTACTGTTTTCAAAGATCATTCATTTTAAATTATAATAGCTTAATATAAATAAAATAAAAATAATGTTATAATATATTTTACAGTATTTCACAGAAAAAGCTATGTATTTTTATTACTGTTTTTATATACTTTGATAAATTACATAATAGCTGTACTTTTAAATGTGCACTAATGTTGATATGCATTTGAAGGATGAGAAAAATTTTATACTATATTTAATGCCATTCTTCATGCTTTAACTTTTGCATTTGAATGTATATGAATAAGTAAAATTTCAAAAGAAAATTTAATGATCTTTTTTAACATATGAAATACCTTTGCTAACAGATAAGCAGATTACAATTTGAGGCTCTTGATTATGAAACTGAGCGATGAAAAAAATTTCATATCCCTATGTAGGAAAAAATATTGCTTCAGAATAACTGTTTCAAAGAACAGGTGTTTAAACTTTACAATAAGCTATTCTTATAACTTTAGATTTGTAAGTACTCAGAATATGAACTTGAGAAAACTTTTAAATGATATCACAATGCACCCCCTTTTAAGAAAAATTTACATTCGAAGGTTACTGATAAATTTCATTCGAAAATAAAAAATAATAATAATAATAATAATAATAATAAACTTTTTTAATTTAAAAAATAATTTTATGGTACTTTTTAGCATTCATATAAAGTTATCTAATTATGATTAATTGATAATTGTAATTATGCTTACCAGTATGTATGTAAGTATGTTTCTTCATATCTGATTTCTGGTGGAATCTTTTCCCACAATATTGACAAGGGTAGGGCCTGGTATCGGAGTGGATCAGCAGATGCGTTGAAAGCGTGGAAGACCGCTTGAAGGACTTTCCGCACTGTTTGCACTCGAAAGTCCGCTCCGCTGTGTGGATGGCCCGGTGCTGGCTGAGGCTAACCTCATGGCCAAAAGTTTTGTTGCACAGTTCGCAGGCGAAAGGTCTTTTTCCACTATGAGATCGCCTCGCGTGCACTTCTAGGCCGTGTGGTGTACTGAACATCTTGTCACACTTAACGCACGAGTATACGTCCCCTGTAGGAGATGACTTGAGGACACCATCAGGGCTTGACAATGACTTGTCCACATGAGATCCAGAATGGGCACCAAAGCTGTACAGAGACAGTCCAAAGCACGAAAGTCCGGCAGTGAAAGCTGGGCGAAAGAGCGATGGGCTGCTGGTTGGTCCTCCACTTACCAACCTAGGGCTTCCATCGCCGTTTTTAGAAGAGCTCTGAGCCTGCGACCTGAAGAGATTAGCTGATCCATGACAAGTGGAGACAGGCACTGGTCTCACCCTTAAGTCCGTGGGCCACGATGACAAACCGAGTGGCTTAAAGTCACCAATGGCTAGAGGCGTTAAAGATGAACGAATGTCTTTTTCGTTGCCGCAAGTCTCCCATGCTGATGAACCCTCACTGGCCAGCCGCGCTGAAAATAAAATAAACGGATATATCTCATTAGTTGTATGTTTAATGATTTCTTAAAATATTATCATGTTCTTTGATTTGAGACATTAAAGTTCTAGTACTTATCCATTAAGTTTTTAAAAAAATCATTCGTCTTTCATTCATCAACTATCAGCATCGAAAAGTCTGCTCAACGGATATTATGGAATATCAGCCTGCACTGGTTGGTAGCTTTATATGTAACCTATGGCAAGGTGGAAAAATTTCACCAAAACATTGTTGCTCCCAAGTATTTTTATGAGTGGCAATAGTCTTCAAAACGATAAAAATTTTAAATCTTCAAGTGCTTTTGCACTTTGTTTAACTAAATGACATACAATTACTGTCAAATATCGAAAGAAATTGTAAGGCAATTGTTAGTTTTTAAGTTTCTTGGATTTTTTGAAGCAAACATTTTATGTATAATAAAAATATACCATAAAAATGAAATTTTTACGAATCGAAATCATTTACTGAAGTTTAATTTCTCTTGAACATTATGAAAATTCACTCATTTACAGGAAAAGAAATCTTCATGAAAAATGACACATTTACATATACATGTTTATTGTTGTAAGAAAACTAATGTGATTTTTTCTATTGGAAATTAAATATAGTTCCTTAATACAGTAAGTAGTAACTGTGAAGTATACAATAGTCCCAAATTTTAATTTTAATTATAAATTTATTAAAGTAATTTTAATGGAATCAAACAATTTTTTTTGCCTGTCAAGTTTGATATTTTTATGTTATAATTCACATTTGAGTTCAAGAAGGAAAAAAAAAGTAAAAAGAATAAAATAAAATAAAATAAATTACTTTATATTTATGTACGCTGTTTAATTTTTACCTCTGTAGTCACTAGGAAATTTCCGTGTATCTATTCTGTTAAAACTGCATCTTGAAAATATTTCTGCAAATATACATAATCTGAATTCATATTTTTGTATTATGCGAATTTCTAGAAATGACGTCCGATTTGCCTTTGAGAATTTCGAATTTACCAGATTTGCTTTTGAGTATTAAAATTATATGCTAATTTCACAGTAAAAGGGATTGCAGAGTTCTTAACAAGAGTTATCCTTTGACAGCTTGGAGTTATTACTTTAGTTCCCTTCTGATTATATTTGCAGCCTTTATATACTAAGTGATTACAAGCTAAGTTCATAAATCAAGGTAAAGAAGAAAACTTAGAAGATAATATTTTGCTATTAATATATTTTGCTATTAATAGCGCAAATTGTAACTCCAGTTAGAAGTAACCGAAGTTAAAAAAATATTAACATTATCATAACATTTGGGTGAAAATAAAAACTTAAAACCATAAAAAAAAGCGCTTTTAGTGTTAAATACGACTTACATTGCACTGCATATTGTAATATATTATTTTTCATGTTGCCAAATTTGTAAAAGACATATTATTGTCTGCAAATTTAAATAAAATTATTTTTAATTTCTAACATAAAGTAATTAAAATCCTTAACTATTTTTAAATATGAAAAAAAATCATTAATCAAAATTGTTGCTCAAAAATCGTTTAGGTTTTAAAACATAACTTTATTTTCTTCAATTAATGTTTAACAAATGATCTACAATCTAACCGAGCTCTCACACTTTAAAAGGGAAACTCACCTAATAATATATTAAATTTAGAGAATTTAATACATTATTAGAGATATATTATATAGATTATTATTATTATTAGAGAATTTAATACATTATTAGTCCAAAGGGGCTTTGTCCCTGAAGGACTATTGTTTTCGTTTTGCGATTTTGCGTTGAATCACTATAAACGTCAGTTTCACTTTCCAAACTGTTGCCACTAAATGTTAGAGTCCTGCATTATATTTGAATAAATTAAGTAATGAAAAATCTTCATAAATGTATGTCTATTTCTCGCATTGTGATAAAACAACGGTACATAGAGCCATCGAATTTTGAATGACGTAATCCTCCTACGAATATGGGCATGTGGAAGACCAAATTTGAAATTTGAAATCTGTTTTATGATCGATTTCACATGTTCTAAAACTTTAACGAATTTTTGAGTCACAAACTCAACGATTTAAAAGCGAGCAATGGCAACACTCTAGGGGGGGGAAGACCTTTTTATCTCCAGCGCGCGGAAATGTGTATCGGACATTCTAAAGATAGGCTCATTTTAAAATTATTTTGCGACATTGCTACCGAACTGAATTTTATGGTTTAAGTGCAAAGAACATGATATTTAATAAATAAAGATAACACACAAAACGTTAAAAAAACGCCCCTTTGGACGTAATTTAAAATCTGAAACCCTTCAGATTTTTTTTTTAAATTATTATTATTTTTTTTTGCTCCTATGTTATTCTTGTAAATATGTTAGTCAAATATACATGAGAATTTCAAAAGCCATTTATTACCTGGTCGAGAAGTCGATTTTTAGTGTTAAGAATAAAGTACACAATTTTTATCTCTGCATTTGATCTCATGCATTCGTGAAGAAATGCCTCCAAATCCGATGTATTGTTATTTTAAACCAATCAGCAAATAACAGCATGCCTTTAGATACCTTCAGACAACTTAGGTTTAGAAATCTGAAGCAAGTATTGCATTCTAAGAGTAACTATTAATAAAAATATCAGCAAACATGATCATAATACGAAAAAAAGAAAATCCAAATATCTGGTTAGGTTTTATAAGCTTATATTATATAAGAAAGAGTTAGCTTATAAAAAATGCTAAGTATTTTCTTAAAAAAAAATTAGATTAATTAAGAAAGACTCAGAAAATGATAGACATATAATTTAGGCTCTTTCAGAGGTTTAAGAAAAGCTATTTAAGAAAAGTTTAGGTTACTTAAAAGAAATTCAGAAAGACTAAAAACATTTTAGAAATATATATTAGAAAATATTTTTAACGGTCTTATTAAAGTATATCTTGAGAAAAATACTTTTTAAAGAATTTTAATGTGAGTGGTTGAAAGACTGAAACTTGAGATAGAGTAGAACTGGGAATACCCAATTATTTCACTCAATATCTTCATAATATTTATAGACAATTATCATGAACCTGTTCATTGATATACTATAAAAATATTTTCTCCACTACCATTGCATTACTCAGTAGCGAAATTATATTTCTCCTTTTTGGCAATATCTACATTTTCTGCTTCCTAATAATACTCTTCAGACCAGCCTCAATAAAAAATCCATCTATTCCTGAAAATGCCCCCTGATGCTTTTACATCAACGAATCCAGCCTTCCGACCTTTCTCGAGGTTTATCCCTCGGAAAAACTTTATTTTCGGTTTCGGGAATCGTCTTTTTCCGCGGATCATTGTGTCGCGACAACTTTTTTTTTCCTCTTTCATTTTTGTTCTGGGTGTTCGTTATTATTCATGCCTCCAGTGAGGGGAAGGGGCGGCGTGAGGGCGACTCGAACTCTATAATGCTCTGTCGCCCTTTTGTCATGCATTTCAAAAGGACACCCTTAGCAGTCGTCGGATAGTGTTATACTTCGAGGGTTGCCGTGGCGAGGAATAATATTTTGGCGACGCAGATATGCAGCCAAGATATGATTGGAAAATGATAAAAATATAATATCGCAAGACTATAATCGGTCCCTTTTAAACCTTTCTTAAAAGATAATTTTTTAAAAAAAGGTCTTCCGAAATTGTTGGATCGCCTTTTTTTTTTAAAGGTTTGCTTGGATAAGTTTTAAACCCATAACGAAATAAGGACAAGTAATTCTAGAAATACAAAAAATAAAACTAAAAAATAATTTAGAGTGAAAGTCTAACATCTCGAGGAGTTTGTCATTACATTTTCAAAAATTTAACAAAATAATATTTAGAAATCTAAAAAATGTAAAAGCCGTAGAAGTAAGACGGCTTATATCGCAATCTAATCTTCGTATGCAAATTCCAGTTTAACATTAAAAGCAACTTTAAATTATATAGTTAAGGTTAGCTTACAAGTTTAAGAATTAATCTTCTAGGGCTTCCAAATGAACAGTATAGAATCACTTGTTTAAAACGAATTAATGAAAATAAAAATGCCGAATTATAAGGAAAACTTGGTGTGAGATTACTTCTTCATAAATTAATGAGTTTAAAAAAAGGTGAATGATTTTCTTAAACAATTTTAAGATGGAAATTTAAATCTGAAATATTAGATGCCCAATCCCCAAAATTTGTGTGTAGGTTTATATTTATTTTAACTAACATTTATTTTAAGTTTAAACTATCTTTCCTGTCAAGCCTTACTTTCCCCTGGAACTGCCAATGCCAGAGTATGTAAATTTTAGTAGAACGCGCAAGGATTCAAATTATCAGCGGAAGTATTCTGAGTTAAATAGAAAGGAAACGAGTTCGAGGTGTGCTGTTCTTACTTCACGAGCGCGGAGGTAGTTAGCCAGAAATTGAAGAACCCCGCGTTTCGGCCTGTGTGCTTGCCTGGAAGAATTGTTAATCGTTCAACGTGATCTTCAAGTTTGCTGAATTAGCAGCGGTATTGTAAAACGCGGTGAGGTTAGTTACTTTTAGAGAGCCTCGTAGTTAGAGTCTTGTCTTTAGTTTTTCTTTTCAGGTTATTATTTTTATTTTGACCGCCGAGTTGGCGTAGTTTGTGAGCGTCAAGAGCACGCAATTGTAATTTATTACGTTGAATAAAAAGGGACTTAAACCCTTAACAAGACTCTGTCTTTTATCCAGTTTTCAACAGTCACCTCTTGGTTGCGTGCAAGTTGGAGGCGCGCAACGCTACATTGGCGCCCGAACACTTATCGAACTGAAATGGCCGAAAATTGGATGGAAGCCGCTGGACAACACCAAGAAATGGACAAGCCAATTGGAAGGATTTGGATACCTGGTCCAGACTTTGAGAGCGTCAATCAAGCCAAACGTCAATTTCGACGGAAAAAATTCGGTGGCGATATTTCTAGAAGGCCTAGAAAATCACTTTCAGCTCTACCCTGTGCCTGAAAGACAAAAAGTTGCCATCG